TAATTATACTTAAACTTCAAACTGTGGAAGAGACCTTCCTCCCTTAAGCCCTCAAGTCCTTAAGCCTTAAGCCTTTAACTAAGCTCTTAACACTGCCAATGATTGAAATTGCAAAGCTCTAAATTTCCTAGCTTGTCTCGGACTAAGCCTAAGCTTCACCATCGTCAGGGTGTCTGGAGTTAAAGTAGTTTAAACTTCCAGGAGTACTTGGTATGACATGGTGGCTGCATAGGAAGACAATGTAATGCTAATATATGATCACATGTGCAACATAAGTATATGGGTTGCCGAGGTCGGTGCTTTGCGAGGGTTTGGAGAACGACGGCAAAGCCTCCAACGCTGACGGAGTCATGACGCTGATGAATTTGGATGAGCTTTGGCCCGCAGTGCAGAACACATCCATGATCGATCACGGTTTCTGGAAGGCTTGTCCAGGAAAGTGTGCGTTCTTGCAGCGCTACCAGAAGTTCGCGAAGGCATTGTGTGAGATGGGCGAGTACCTCTTTCGCCAGCTCCCTTCTTTCCAGCACCTGCCACGGGTGCACCCGTCAGCTGCCTCCATGCGGCTGTGGGCGAACCAGTTGCCCAAACAGCTGGAGGAGTGGGTCGAGAGCACAGAGTTGCGCGGAAGGATGCAGAAGACTTGTTTCCAGCGATGTGCCGACCAGCTCAAGACCCTTTTCTCCGCAGGGTTGGCCGCAGTTGGCCAAGTGGTGGCCGAGGTCAAGAAGGGAGAGACGCCTCTCACGCAAAACAGCGTGGACGAGCTCATGAGCAAGGTCCCATCTGATCATCCCCTCAGTATGCTTTGCTCCGCGTTCTTCAAGGCATGCTTGCTTCCTAGAGTCCTAGAGTCTTATATCGAGGGCTTTGTCCGGGTATACTTGAGACTACTGGAATAAAGGCCCAGGCAACATATCATTTTGGCTTACACACGTACGTGAGTCGTGTTGGTTGCTATGAACAGCCTTTTACTTTAACTTCAAGCCTTAAGGCCTTAAGGCCCATAAGTTTTAAGGCTTGAGGCCTTAAGGCAAGGAGGCCTTAAGTCAAGCCTTAAGGCTTTTAGGCTTTTAGGCTTTAGAACTTTAACTTTAAGGCTTTAGGGTTTACGTTTAGGGAGTTTGGGGAAAGTTTAGGGCTTAGGGGTTAAGTTTAGGGCCCAGGCGTTTAGGGTTGAGGGGTTTAGGGCTTAGGGTTAAGTCAAGTCGGTTTGAGTTTAGGCCGTTTACGGGTTAGGGTTCAGTATTTCAACATGACTTAGACTTAAGCTTAAACTTTAACCTAGAGATATGCTCAACAACGCTCGGCAGTATGTTCCGGTCTTGACATATCACATCAGCTCGCTGTGTTTTCCAAGTTCATGAGTAGATCTTACCAATATAGCTAGAATTTGGTTTGAATGTTGAGGTCAACGTAGGCCCGCCCTAAATTCTCTGGTCAGTTCGAAAATGAAAGGTCGTTTTGTCTACCGCCAAGAAGGAGGATACTGATTTCAAGATGTGCGCGAAGGCTTTGCTCGACATGGCTTCGAAGTTGAAGGAGGCAACGGCCAAGAGCGCAGGTGACAGCACACTTGCCACCGACTTGGAGATCTCCCAGCTCACCACGGTGGACCAGTGGTTGCTTGCCGCAGTTGAAGATCTTCTGAAGCGACAGAAGGATACCTTGGTCGAGGGCTTTGCCCGGGTGTCAAATGTCGCAGTCGAGATCGAGGCATCGCTTGCCAAGCTGCCGGGCTTCACTGACGAGGTGGGCTTTCGGGAGGCTGGTGTGAAGCTGGTGCAGAAGCTCGCATCCGCCGCAGCAAAGTTGGAGAACAACTTGAGCAGCCTCAGGGACAGCATGGAGAGTGTGGACATTCTGTCTTCAGTGCGTTTCTCCGACAAAGGCCCAGATGAGGCCTTGTGCAAGAGCTGCGACGTCAAGTCCAAGACGGACGAGTTGGAGGCAGCCGACAAGAAAGCCACAATGGCGGGTTGCGTAGTGGCCTTGGTTGCCAGTGTGTGCCTGCTGCGAGGCCCGGAGCTTGCCGAGTCGAGCCCAGATGTTTCAGTCTTTGCTCAGCTCCGGGATGTCCAGAAAACGTTGCAGGTCAAGGTCAGCAAGCTCTCGGACGACAAGAAGCAAGGAAATCCAGATGGTTCTGATATGGTGGCCTTTGCTGAGAAGATCCTTGAGGAGTGCGGCACCGTCTTGGCGCAACAGGGAGACCCAAAGAAAAGGAAGGCCCCAGTGCCGGGTGAGGACCCGGCCCTCGCAGGTGACAAGGAGCCAAGCAAGAAGACCGCCCAGACCCAGAACAAGGAGAAGGAGAAGTGCGCGGCAAAAGCCAAGGCGAAGCAGAAAGCCCAGAAGGTCGCGGAGGAGAAGCAGGACGACCCCAAGCCGAAGCAGGACAACAAGAAGGGCAAGGACAAGGAGAAGGCGGACAAGGCCCCGGAGAAGCAGCCAGCGAAGATCAAAAGGCCCGCCCCCGTGGCTGAGGAGGAGCCGAAAAAGCGGCAGACGAGCCTCCTGGATGGCATGAGCAAGAAAGGCCGAAAGTAGGGCTGCTGCAGGGTGCGTATTGCCTCCATGTATATTCCATCCGTTTTGATGCTCACTCTTCTTGAGTGTCTTGTTTTGCTGCCATGCAGCAAACGCAGGCCTTTGGCCTTTGGCCGTGTTATTGGATCAGCGTTGTTAGTATTGGGTATTTGTATTTGTGTCTTGAGTGTATTATAGTTACATAATTTTACAACATGTGCTCGGGTATAGTAGTTTCTAGTGCAGCAACGCTGTGTGCGTTTCATGTCTCGGCCTTGGGCCTTGCAGAACATTGGGTTCACAATCACCGGACGTCTGGACTGAGTCAAGCTGAGGTGCCGCAACAAGTTCAAAGTTGAAGCTGCTCAGGCTTAGGTTCTTAGGCTCTTAGGCTTAAGCTTAAGCGGTTAAGCGGCTTCGGCAAAGCACAGGTGCTCGAAATGCCATGTTGCCCAGTGGTGCTTGCTTCACGTCATTGCGTGTCGATCTCTGTGCTTATGTTGCTTGAATTGCGCCTGTCAGGACCAAGTGCTGCCACGTGATACGATTTGGTAGGATTTGAGTGGGAAGCAGTTTTCAGTTAGCAGCCTCTGAGATAGGTTTATGACTCATGCCAATACCTAGTCCGTGGCTGTCTGATTTGACTAATGACTATTATATATTAGTGATTCGTCTAATATTAAAGTTATTAAAGACTAAAGACTATACCTAGTCACCAGTCTGCTTGCTGTAGTTCCTGTCCGACTCGCCCAGAGCCTTGCCTCGCGTCTCACAGCTCAGCTTCTGTGATGTCCAAGCAGCAGCCGGGGAAGGGGAAGCCTGGCCAAAGCGAGCCAAGCCTGAAAAAGGAGGCCTCGGGCCGGGAGCAGTCAGAGCCGAAGCTGAAGAGAAGCCGGAACCTGGAGAAGCAGAACTCGGACGAGCCGGGCCTCATGGCTGAGGCCTCGCGCCGGGTAGTGTCTGCGGATCATATCCAAACTGGTGCATTGCTCCATGTGCTCGCGCTTGAGAATTTCGAAGGATTCCAGAAGTTGGAGGGCAACAGCCCTTTGGTCCTCGGACAGCATGACCTTCAGGAAGAGTTGGTGTTGTCGTGGGCTTCGGCTTGTTCCGGTTCGGAGGGCATCTACTACGCGATGGAAGCCATCAATACAACGTTCACTCATTTAGGTGTGAAGGTGCAGCTGCAGCACACCTTCAGTTGCGAGAGCATCTTGATTTCATCCTAGAAGTCCTAGACTGGTCCACTGCGCACCTGTACTCAGTCCTTTTGCCAGTAGTCCGGTATGCCTTTTTAGATCCGAACTTTATGATACTAGATGTAATTCTCTTAAGTCATAAACCATAAGAAGCCTTCATTTCTAAAACCTTTGCCGCCTTCGCCTTCTTTATCTGATAAAGTTTATGCCACCCCAAAATCGGAGGTCAGGTTGTCCAATGAATATTCAGTTTAGTAAGTTTAGTTTAGTTTTATCCTTTCGTGCGTAGCAGATTGCCCATGGTGGCATATGGCATATGGCATATTGGCATTGGCATAAGGCATAAGGCATAAGGGCATAAGTTATAAGTCAAGGCATAAGGCGCATAGGGCATATGTATAAGTCCGTATAGGTTCAAGTATAAGTATAAGCCAGCTTTCCTACCCAGGTAAGCGATTGATAGCACTATTGCACTAGTCGCTATGACCTATGACCTATGTTTCTATGCTAGTCGCGTGACATACGTGCTCAGGTAATGTTGACAAGCAGCAGTGGATCAAGGCGCTTCTTGCTGTCGGCCCCCTGCGCGAGAGTTCCTCCTTCACTTGGCCTCCTCGGGTGGATGCCCTTGGGGCGGGTGGTGATCTCGATGAAGTTGTGGGTGGGAAATGCATTTTCCAGGACATCGCAGAGTTGGAGTGCGACGAGGCCAAGTGCTGTCGCCATGGTGGCGGGTGCATCGTTCCTTCAGTCGACCTCCTTGTCGTCGGGACCTCTTGCAAAGACCTCAGCAAGCTGAACCATACAGCTCCTGGTGCTGGTCACGATACCACAAAGCCGGTCCTCGAGCAGAGCTCCAGCCGGGGTGCTTCAGCACAAACCTTCCAAGGCCTTGTGGGCTACATTCGGAGTCACCGACCTCTCTTCGTTGTCTACGAAAACGTGGATGCCATCAGTGATCAGCTCAGCTCAACCGACGACTCGAACCTGAAGGTTTGCTTGAACGAGTTCGCAACACTAGGGTACCAGAGCCAGCCGATGATGACGGATGCGTCGGAATTCGGGCTTCCATGCCATCGTCGCAGAGTCTACATCCTTTTCATTGACTCACGTAGCCCGAGGCTTGATCTCCGCAGTCGGCCCCTGCAGGTTGTGATGAGCAAATTTCGCCACTTGCTTAGCAGTTGTGTTCGCACTTCACCATGCGCATCGGAAGTGCTTCTTCCGGCAGAGGATGGGGCTGTCAAGTATTTTTTCGATGAGCGGCAAGCAAGAACCAAAAAGAAGTCCACTCAGAACAACTGGGTGAATCAGCATATGAAGTATGCTGACGGCCTGGGCATTCGTTGGGGCATGCCTGCACGAAAAGAGTTGTCCCAGAATCCTTGGTACCTCACCCTTACCGAGCGTGAGGCCGACTGCCTCAAACTCTCAGAGATTGAGTCCCCGGCAGCAGGTTT